AAGAAACTTAACACTTAATTAAATCATGCAATTTGAGTACGAGTGTATTTGTAAGCCTCTCGTTATTTCAACAGAAGATTAATCAGTATATTCAGAATCTTTAAATTCTCCTTTTTCAATGTCATCATAATGTTCAAGTCTCTTCATGAAAAGTAGAAAATTCATAAAAAACCTTAATCTCAAGATTATTAGGAGGTGTTGCCAGCTATTAAACCTTTAATTTTGTTAAATCAATAGATAATCTATTATTAGGCATCATATTTAACTTTAAATATAACATTTTAGCCTACAATAGATAATCTATTATTAGGCATCATATTTAATCTATTATTAGGCGCTAAACTGTGAAGCATCATATTTAACATCAGTGGATAACATTTCTTCAACTTTAAATATAACATTTTAGCCTAAAAATAGTGAAAAACTTTCCAAATTATTTTCAAAATCCCAAAATCATCACTCTTTTCCAAATCACGAAGGTTGGACAATAAAACGGCGGACAACTATATAGATCAAAATCATAAAAATATTAAAAAATAAACTTTATAAAAGATCATATGATTAAAAACACATAGAATCGAGTAACCGAGGATTGGTTAGAAACAAGTGCTATGAAATTGAGAATAAGCTTATGGAAGATCCCTTCACTTCTTCTCTCTGCTTGAATTCCCTTTCCGATAGCAGCAATTTATTGTGCAGACAATAAATTCATCGTTTTGGATAGACTTTAACATATTGAAACCTTAAAAAGCAAAATATTGTCGCTTGGCAACTTTCCCTAGACTTATTGGCTATAGTTCTTCACCTAAACTGAAGAAAAGAAAGGGATCATACCTTTTGCTGTTGTACCATTGGTTACAAAGAAAGAAAAGAGTGTGGGATAGTGAAAATAAGACAGGTTAAAACTGAAATTTTCAACAATGAAAATAGAATTGCACTATATTATGTTCAAATTTGGAACTGAATGTATTATTTAAAATACAAACTAATCGAAAAAATCAAGGAATAATATCAACAAAAGTTTGGAAAAGTGAAACCACCTTAGATTCTAATTAGCAAACTTCTAAATATAAGGATCCAACTATTTTCAAAACTAGAAAATACGAAAAAAATAAGAACAAGATATGACAGAAAAAATTCAAGCTTAAAAGGGCTGAATGCACCAATGGGATCTCTCAAACCAAACAGTCAGCCCAAACAGGAGTAACCTTGCCTCTAAAAATTGTAGAGCTCCACACAATATTTACTCGTCTCTAGGGCTGCAAATGAACCAATGCACTTGATGCTCAACTTGAACTCAACTCGATTAATACTCAATCATATTTATTTAACTTAGTAAAAAAACAAACTTGGATATTTTTTTTAGAACTCAAATGTTAAATGAACTAAATTTGAATATAGATAAACTCGTTTATTTATGCTCATGAACATGCCCATCTGTTCTTCAAGTAACTTTTTAAATGCTCTATATTTATATGAAATATTTTTTAAATAAAATTTAATTAACTACACCTTTAGTTACATATATATAATATTAACATATTATAATTTATTATCAATATTCATAGAAATTTAATGTATTTTTGTTTTTTTATTTTAAAAAATTATTTTATTAGTACTTATTTATATTAATTGATTGAAAGAAAACATACTTATAACTTATATTGTATTTTATTTACTAAATATAATCTAAAGAGATACAAATTTGAATTTATTCAACTGCCTATTTATTTAAAATTTTAAAATTATTTGTTAATATTTGTATATAAAAAAAATCAAGTACTCAAATGAATTTTTAGCTTATTTACTAGCTTTCTATAGAAAATTAAGTACAATCAAATTTCAAATTTTATATAAAAAATCAAGTACTCATTCAAATTTTAGCTTGTTCCAATAATATAAATAATTCAAGTACAAATCAAACATTGATATTAAAAATTTTAAGCAAGTCAGGTATAAACACATGTGAAAGCTCGGCTCAAGTTCGAACTAAAAATGAGCAACTTATGATTCGACCAAGCTAAATCCAATCTATAACATTCTCAGACTCCGCTCGGCTTGATTACAAACCTATTAACATCTTCTTTGATGTTAGTTAAACATTCTGATCAAAAGGCTTTGTGACAGGTAGGCAAGCATACCTTAAAAGGTGACTTTGATGATGACTTTTGGACAATGTGCTTGAAAGAAAACTACATGTATGAAAAAAACTTTCATCGGTAAGTCTTCGATGACAGCTTTCAACAACCGAACCATTATCTCATTTAACACATATAGCAGCTTTGTACAAGGGCATTCATCATCATAATGACAATTTTAGTGACATTTAAAATATGTTTTGGTAGAAATTTTAAACCTATATGCAGTCAATAGATTTTCTTAGTGGGTTTATTAACATGGTGCTTTTACTTTTAGTGTCGCAAATTAAATTTGAATAATTTGACACAAAAAAATGGACTTCCATTATATGTTATGATTTTTTTAGAAATGAGAATTTTAACATTTGTTCAAAATCTTATGCAAGTTGAAATGCATTTTCAAGTGAACATGATGCGGTGTCATCTTACTCTTAATTTTAGGTCTCAAACCAACATTAAACATAGAAAATTTGATTTCAGGATCATCAATGATTTCAAACATAGTTGTAACTATTTAAATTCTTCAAGTATCAGTATCACTTTTGTTTCATGTGTTCATAAATTAAATTTATAAAATATTTGATTGAGATGACAGAAAAATATTTTTCTTTAAAAATTCTTTCATTTTAGTCCTATAAATATAGACTCACCCTAATTTATTGTGGCTTCTTCATCGATCATCCAACACAATTATAGCTTACCTAATTAATTTCAACTTTACAAATCATACTTGATGCTCTCATGACATTGTTTTTTCAAGGAAATCGTACATATCCATTACACGGTCAAAGAAAGCCTTAGGAATTATTTCCCCATCAAAAGTAACATTTTTTGAGTTATGTCCTCCTTCACATCAAAATTTTGACATCCATGATTTCCATAACCTTCAGAAACATATCCTTGATAACATCTATCTTAATTATTCCTTCCCACAATGAGCTTCTTGTCTCTCAACCATGATAGTAATCAAGCAAATGTTAACTTTATAATTAAACTCAGCTTCAGATTCATGTCTTTGAAATTGATTGGTTTCCAATCTTTTTAAATCACTCATTGATTAATATCATCACACATTTGATTTTATTTATTCAAAAATTTAACCAACTGCATTTATAGAGAAGACAAAATCTAACCTCTTTAATTAATTTACAAGTTGCTAGTTTGAGAAAATCTTAAGCTGATTCAAGGCATCAAGGGTCTAGGGTTCCTAATACAACAAAATGTTATACAACTGCAACAACAAGCCTTATCCCACTACCTGAAGTAATACAACAAAATGTTATAACGAATAAAAATCAAGCAATCAAGATTAAGAATTCACAACTTAAAGATCACCAATTTAAGCAAGCACTAGCCTTATTTTCATGCAAACCAAAAAAATAAAAATGGCAATCCTTTCAAAATGATTAATTTGCCAAAATAAACATTTAGTGAAACTTTTGAAGCCATAAAAAATACAACTCAATTTTGTTTCATACCTCCAAAAATAATAATATTTATTTTGACTCATATCAATCACATTTGTAAAAATTCATATCAATTTATACAGAATAAAGGTAAAAGGTAAGATAATACCAAAGAAATCTCAACTTTACATCAGTACAAGAAGAAGGTTTACCTTCAATTTAATATTCATCACACGAAGAATTCAGCATGCAATAGACACCTAAGTTTGAGAACAAAGGACAAATTTCACTCGTCAAAATCAACTGCTTTTATAGACCCCAAAAATTTATAATTACGGCTAAGGTTTGGTAATGATATAACTAAGTTTAGCGCAACAAATATCTTGATAAGAAACTACAAAAATCACGCATTACAGAAAAGCAAAAGGAATCATAATCACACAAAATCCCGCAACTATCTCCAGTGAATATGTAAATAGCACTATTGATCACATGACAAAAAAATCGCATTGAGACAGAAACTAACAAAATGCACTTATCAAACCATGGAAACAACCAAACAAACTACTAGAACATACCCAAAAAGTCAGCATACCCAACACAGCAAATCATTGTACTGAACCAAATCATATCCCTTACACTGAACCACATCGAAGTCTTAACAGTGAAGCAATCCAAAGAGACAATCCATCATTGTGGGAGTCGTCATCATAGACATAAACTAAGAAATAAATTAAAACGACACAATAAGCTAAAACAACTAAAACAAACCAAAAAAAATTTATTTTTGGTCAAGTCCTTCAATTTTCTCACCTCAACATTCATGAAGAGTAAACAGTTTTTGTTTTCATCAATGCCCTCAAAAGATGTTTGGCTTTGAAAACTTCAGATTAAAATGATAAGACCATGAAATAAGAATTTTTGGGAGAGGCAGATCCTACACAAACTCTATTACTAAAATAAATTTCAACACCTGTATTTGCCAATAAAAGGCCAATTCTAGAAAGACATTTTCCCATTTAAATATCACCTGCTACTGAAATTCCTATACACTTGAACAGGTTTGTGCATTATGTTCAACATATCAAGTTCTCAAAAATAATTGTTTTTCAACTTCTTTAATGGACTGTATAGAATTGGACAAGTACATAAAATTCTATATGGTGGTATATATTAAAAAACTTAGATCAGCACATCTGTATGAGACATGGCATTCACCTAAATCGATATACAATGCCAATAAAAAAAAGACAAAAAAAAACACAGCGAATAATACATGCCAATGCTTACAATTGGCACTTTATGGTATTTCTTTTTTATAATGGAAACATAAGTTATTCTCATATTAATAATTATCAATTTTCACAAAAGTTCTTTTTTAAAGGATAAAAATATATAGGATATTTGATTAATTATAAGATGTGCATAATACCAACTACAAAATTTTTTAATGGACAAGATCATATGCAGAATTATACCCATGTAAACAGCTGTCAGATTTCAAACCCCGTTGAAAGATAAACAACCCCATATCCAAAAACATTTGACTACCCCCTACACAGATCAACACATGCGATTTATGTCGATAAAATCAATAGTGTCATAATTAGATATCATTTGAAATCAAAAGTTACCCAAATACTCCATTTGATGCAAGCAAACCTTAAATTAGAGGACTAAAAAGAAAAAAAAGCATATCATGAGTCGCTGACATAAAAAATAAGCAGTACAAATGACTAAGAAAATCAATTCTTTCGATGGTTTTGCTAACCAAAAGATGCCTCCATTTATTATGCGAAAAAGAAATAAACTCACAAAGGGCTGGCACTTTACCCAAGAAAACTTACACGTTTTATAGTCTCTTGAACTAAGCAGTCGGTGCAAATATTCATACGCCGTGTTCTGGAAAATGCTACAAGTTAGATGACAATAAAGTATGAAAGCTTGACAAAATATATGGCAATATCTCCAAAAAATAGCAACAATATTTGATAGCCAGCAAAACAACTTGTAGTTAAATATAAATGCATTTTAAGTATGAAAACGAATTTAATTTGTTTTATCTAAATAAAATTAGTAGATAAATTGCATCATATCATGGCTGCTAAGGAATTCGTGAGACGAATACATATTTTTGCAAAAGGTCCCATATATTAAAGTTCCATGAAGATCCTTTCACAGCTTGTGCCATCAATTGAGGGCAAAATATGTAAGAAATAAAAATATATCATGTGTTTTCTTCTCTTGTTTACAATCTCTGACGTGGGTGCGGGAAAGCCAGTCGATCCAGGCCCCAATTGGACCCGCCAGCCCCTTCTCCCACTTTCCATTTTTATATTTCCTTATGGAAGCCTTCCTTTGTTGTTATTTCCTTATGGGAGCTTTCCTTTCTTGATATTTCCCTATTGGAGTCTTTTTAAATGTTGTTTTCTGAGAGTTAGGGCTTAATTTGTTGAGTATTAGATTTCAGGTTTCTATGTGAAGTTGTCTTCCGTTTTCTAGGATTGTATCCTCCGAGGTAGTTGTGATCCTACTGTATCTTCCTACGAGGTGGTGTTGTATCCTTTCCAATCTCCTTTCCTCCCCACTCCCTAAACCTTCTAGCCACCGATTTTCCCCTCCAGACCTCCTTGTCGGCCTCTCCCGACACCAGGTCACACTTCCCCTGCCCTTTTTCCCTGTTGTCCACTTCTCCCCCCCACCTTCTAGCCACTTGTTCCTACTCCACTTGTTTTTTGGCCTTGTTGTACAGCCTTCCCGCCACCCCAAGTGCATCCTACCAAACATCGACATACGTCCTCCTTACTTTCTAGTTCTTTTCCCCATCAACCCACACCCTTCTCCCCCATTACCCGTAGCTTCCCCGACCGCTACATGCTTCCAAACCCCCAAACTTGCCACCCAACACCCTTCCAATTTACCCTCCAGCTTCAACTCTTCCCCTTTCCCCCTCACCCTTTTGCCAACGGAAACACCGCCATCGGATCTCCTCTTCTAGTCCTAGCCAGAGATTAGTTTGTGTTTGTATTTCCTTTCTAGTTTGTGTTTGTATTTCCTTTCTAGTTTGTGTCGTGTTGTAGCCCTATTTTTTTGTTAATAAAAATTTTCTTCTATGTTTCCGCTAAGTTCCTACCTTAACTCCAGTATAATTTGATATCAGAGCTAGTCAAATTCTAGCCCTATCCTAGAGTTTCCTAGCATCTGCAATTCACAAACCATAACCGCAAATCCCCCTTGCTGATTTTCAAAATCAGCAAACCTAAACAACATTTTACACTCGCCATCAATCGCATACACCCCCTCTTACCTCCAGCAAAAAAATTTCCTTCCACAACCCAAACCCTAACCCCACCAAAATATTTATAATATTCCTTAATCCCTAGTTATGCCACCAAGAAGAATATGCCCAAGCATACCCAGGAAGAGATATGACGAGTGCTCTGTCGCCTTCAACAAAGGCTTGCAGAAATTAAAGAATGGACACAAGAAAAGGTTACAATCAACTGAGATCTGAGGATTAAAAGGGGAGAAAGAGAAAAAGATCTGAATCCTTTCCATAGGGATAATTTCAGCGATGAAGAATACGGGCCATGACGTTTCAAAATCCAGTATCAGAGTAGACCTGGAGGGAAATCAGAATCCCTCCTAGAGAGAGTTTTCGAGAGGAGATGTCATTTGGATGACATATAGACTATGGAATCAAAGTGAATTTACCAGAGTTTGAGGGAGGCATGGATCAAGATGAATTGATTGATTGGATGGAAGTTTTTGAGCGAATATTCAAGCACAAAAGATGTTCCAGAAGATAAGCAGGTCAAAATAGCTGCTATTAAGTTGATGAAGAATGTCTCCTTATGGTGGGAAAATATACAGTGGCAGAGAAAACATGAAGGCAGTGATAACATTACAAGTGAGAGAATATGAAGAAAGTCATATAGAAGAAATACCTTCCCCATCATTATTGTCAGAACATGTTTCTGAAGCTCTACAATCCGCAATAGTGGGATCTTTCAGTGGAGGAGTTCACAACCCAGTTCAACCACTTACAGCTGAAGTACGTACTGACAGAGTCAAAGGAGCATACAATAACTCGATACCTTAAGAGCCTAAAACCTAATATTAGTAATGTGGTGCAGCTACAGCGATATTGACCGCTTGAGGATGTTCAAACACTAGTCATGAAGGTGGAGAGACAGCAGAAGCAGAGCAGGAAGCAGGAAGCAGACAACAACCGTCAGGCAAGCAGGCAGTGACCCAGAGTTACCGCGATCGACAATGGTACCTCAGGAGAAAATGGCAAGCACGGACAAGGGAATGACACTCTAGATCAGAGCGAGAAGAAGCAGAAAAAAGGCAGTTTCTCTTTGGCCATGAAGTGTTTCAGATGCCACGATTACAACCACATAGCCTCCAGCCATCCCACGAGCAGAGTAGTCACACTTACTGATCAGGACGTAGTGGAAGAGGTTAGCGACGAGAACGCTGAGGAAGAAAGTGAGGTGTACCAGCTTTCAGCATATGAAGGAGAGGCACTCGTGATCCAACGGATCCTGCAGACAGGGATACGCAGTGGCATCGCCACAATATTTTCTACACTCATTGCACCGTGAACAAAAGATATGTAGTCTTACTATCAACAATGAGAGCAGCAAGAATATGACATCGACTTGAATGATAGAGAAATTGAGACTTACGACTCAGAGATATTCTTAATTGTATTCACTAACGTGGCTGAATAAGGCAAATCGGGTCAACATCGACCAGATATGCTTGCCAGACAAGAGAACTGAGACACCAACTCCAGATATAGGAAAGATATGACCGAGGGTGCTTCAAAGTTTCACAGTCGACACCGTACCACTGGTGCGATCGCTGTGTGATAAGGTTCAAGTTAACTCTCATAGCAAGCCCAATTAAATCGACCACGGGTTTCTTTGGGAAGATTAAGTAGTACATACATGACCCACAACCTCAAGAGAGCGGATCAATTTGGACATGTGTTAACAGGTGGGGAAGACTTCTCCAATGCTTCGAAGAACAATACAACCGATAGGAATCCAGGTACCATCATAATTGAAGACAGGAACTAGAAGCTTCAACGAATGAGGTTGAAACTCCCCCAACCCCAAGAGGCTGACGTGGATGAGGCCATCATCCCGCACGGGTGTGGGAAGACCCCGAATGCTGATGAGGATGCGAATGTGGGTGTGGGTGTGGGAAAGCCAACCGGTTCGGTCCAGAACCCAACTGGATTGAGCAACCTATAGAGGGGGTGGCGTGCTGCCAACCCCTTCTCCCACATTCCTTTTTTGTGATTTCCTTATAGGAACCTTCCTTTGTTGTTATTTCCTTATGGGAGCTTACTTTTGCTATTATTTCCTTGTTGGAGTCTTTTAAAATGTTGTTTTATGAGAGTTAGGTCTTACTTTTGCTGTGTTTCGGATTTCCGGTTTAGTGTGAAGTTGTTTTCCCAGTTCTAAAATTGTATACTCCGAGGTAGCGATGCTTTGACCGTATCTTCCTCTGAGGAGGAGTTCTATCATTTCCAATCTCACCTCCTCCCTGCTACCAAACCTTCAAGCCACCAATTTTCCCTTACTGACCTCCCTATCGGCCTCTCCCAGCACCACCCGTGCTTCCCCTGCCCTTTTCCCCAACTGTCCAGCCTCCCTCCCACCTTCCAACTGTATGGTCCCCTTCCACCGGTTGTCGGCCTTGCTGTCCAGCCTTCCCAGCCACCCCAAGTGCATCCTACCAACCACCAACGGCCGTCCTTCATGTTGTCTGGTTCGTTTCTACATCAACCCGCACTTTTCTCCCCCAATACCTGCAACTTCCCCGACCGCCCCATGTTTCCAATCCCTCAAACCTGCCACCCACCACCCTTCCAATCTACCCTCTAGCTTCAATCTTTCCCTTTCCCTCTTACCCTTTTGCCGACACCAACAACGCCCTCGGTTCATTTCTCCATCAACCCGCACCCCTCTCCCCCAGTACCTACAGCTTCCTCGACCACCCCACTCTTCCAAACCCCCAATTCTGACCCACCACCCTTCCAATCCACCCTCTAGCTTCAACCATTCCCCTTTCCCCCTTACCCTTTCGCCGACGCCACCACCGCCCTAGAATATCTTCTTCCAATCCTAGCTGGAGATTAATTTTTGTTTGCGTTTTCTTTTTTGTCTGTGTCGTGTTGTAGCCCTATTTCTATATTAATAAAGTTTGCTTTTGTGTTTCATTCGTGTTCGTACCTTAACTCCGATATCAAGCTCTCTCTTCGACCCCAAACCTCCCTTTGCTATTGGAGATCTTAAGCTCTAAAATTTTTTAATACAGATAAAAGAATACACAAAATCATGCACACCTTCAAATTCGCATTTCAAAAAATGCTTATCTTAGACAGGTATTTTCTCCTTTAGATGAAGCCAAAATTATTTGCATTTCAAACTTATTTTTTTATGAAGCTATTCACACTATAGATGAAATTAGACCTACCGAAAATTGCATAGATATTAATTAAACAACCGTCTATCAGAAATTTTGTATAGAAATTTAGAAGTATTAAAGAAAAAAACTAAACATTTGATTAGAACCCAAACAATAATTAGAAAAAAGATAGCACAATTATCACTAGAACTAACAAATAGAATAATAAGGAAATAGATCATCAAATGATAATTTAAGACACGAAAGGGTACAAAAACTTTCCCAAAAAATCTTCAATTCCCAATGCACAGGAAAAGGTTAGAAGGACTTGTAGCTAATTAAAAAATTATTCTTAAAGTTGAAATCAAAGTAAAGTAAATATTGAGTTATTGGTAAGTCACATAAGTTCGGATTTGCAAACAAGAGTACATATCATAAGATTAACAATTACTGTTATTCTCAAAGGGTACATATCT